TCTTCTCTAGCCTCTTGCAGGGTTCTTGGATATATCTGGTCAGGGCCAAGAGATTTATCCATCTTCATATATTTTAATACTTCCAACACCTCCTCTACTGTGATATGAACTGTCCCCAAGATATTGCCACTACCTTCCCCAAGTTCCCAAGTCTTCAAATCTTTCTCCAGGGAAACACAGAGGAGGAATATTCATTGAGGACCTTGTGCATCTACTGCGGTTCCACACATCCATGTCCACTTTGGTCCTTGAGGGGTTTTATTCTTTCTGTAGTTATTCTTTTTCCTTTAACATACTTAAAGAATTTCTTTGGATTCACACTAATCTTCTCAGCCAAAGCTATCTCATGCCCCCTTTTCACCCTCCTGATTTCCTTCTTCAGTAAACTCCTGTACCCTGCCAACCTTGCCCTTCACCCTCATTCGAACATATAGACCTTGAACTCTAGATATCACATTTTTAAAGGCCTCCCAGTTGTCAGAGATCCCTTTGCCTGCAAACAAACTACTCCAATCAACCCCTGCAAGCTCCTGTCTAATTCCATCAAAATTCACCTTACCCCAGTTTTGGACTTGAACCTGTGGACCTTGTCTCTCTCCATAACTATTTAAAAATTAGTAGAACTATGGTCACTAGTCCCAAAGGGCTCCCCCACTGTCATCTCAGTCACCTTTCCTGCCCTATTTCCCAAGAGTAGGTTGAGTTTGGCCCCTTCCTGAGTAGGACCCTCTAAATACTGCTTAAGGAAACTTTCCTGAATACATCTAACAAATTCCACTCCATTTAAGCCAGTAACACTATGGCAGTCCCAGTCTACATTAGGAAAATTAAAATCCCTCACTATGTCAACCCTATTGCTCCTGCAAGCCTCCCCAGTCTCCCTGCATATTTGTTCCTCTGATTCCTGTTGACTATTTGAGGGCCTATAGTACAAACCCAATAATGTCACCACCCCCTTCTTATTTCTTAGCTCCACCCACAAGGCCTCACTGGATGATTCCTCAGTTATTTCATCTCTGACTACTGCTGTGATACTCCCCTTAATCAAAAATGCAACTCCCCCTCCCCTCTTTCCTCTACCTCTGTCCCGCTTAAAGCACCTGTACCCTGGCACATTAGACTGCCAGGCCTGTCCCTCCCTTAGCCATGTTTCTGTAATAGCCATAATATCCTAGTTCCACATACCTATCCACGCCCTGAGTTCATCGGCCTTACCTGTCAGCTCTCTTGCAGTGAAATTTAATCCCCATTCCCTGTCCTGTTCCAACCTGACCTGTCTCTTCAACTTGCTATTTCTGATAACTGTATCTCCTTCCAGCCTCGCACTTGCCTCCCTGCTGTTGAGGATCTCACCCCTCCCCCGCCAATCTAGTTTTGGTCCCTTTCCTTAGGGAAAGATATTATTTCATTGAACGCAGTTCAGAGAAGTTCACGAGGATGATCCCTGGTATGGAGGGATTGTCTTATGAGCAAAGGCTTAACTCTACTCACTGGAGTTCAGAAAAATGAGAGGTGATCTCATTGAGCCATGTAGGATTCTTAAGCGGCTTGACTGGTTGAATGCTGAGAGGATGTTTCCCCTCACTGACGAGTCTAGGACAGAGGGCATAATCTCAGAATTAAGAGGCATCAATTTAAGACTGAGATGAGGAGAAGCTTCTTCTCTCAGAGGGTTAAGAATCTTTGGAATTCATTGCTACAGAGAGCTGTGAGTGTAGTGTCCTTGTGTATATTTAAGGCTGAGATAGGTAGATTCTTGATCAGTATGGGAATCAAGGATTATGGGGAAAAGGCAGAAAATGGGAAGGGAGACTTGAGGGACTGAACAACCTTCTCCTGTCCCTGTTTCATATGGTTGGAGACACAGAAAGGAGGACAATGGAAAAGAAACAGAGTGTGAGGAGATCTGGTCGAAGCAATTGTGGGAGTTGGTGAGCTTCTGATGGATATTGTCAGGCAGCCTATCCTCAGAAATGGAACCCTTGGTTTTTTTGTTACTCGATTGAGGAGTGGTAGGGACCTTGGGACCAAGGTGCGGATGACTTCATCCAGCGTTCTATAGGTTGAGAAACCTGTCAGTCAGTCAGGCCCCTTTTGTGAGTGGTGATCATTTCCGACGGGGTGTGGGTCTGCATGGATTACCGGCATCGATTGGTGGAAGAGCCCGTCATTCAGTGTGATGTGGGCGTGGTCTCAGCTTTGGGCGGGGGAAGCTTCACTGTCCTAATCCTATTGGCTAATGAGCCTGTCAATTAGTGTCGGATAGGAGACCGTAACAGTCTGGGGCGGGGCTGTTGCGGTTTCTGCGATGCTATTGGCCAAGGGAGATGTCCTTCAACGCGGTGTGGGTAGGTTTCCGGTCGGCGTTCGGTCGCCTTAGGAGCCGGGCATTGGGAGTGAGCGAAGGTATCATGTCGCTGCCGGATCTGTCTTCCCTGAGCCTGCAGGAGCTCAACGAGCTGCTGGAGGATGAGGGCAAGCTGAATAAGATGGCGGAGGGGATGGAAGAGGTGAGTTGTTTTGTTTTGCCGGGGGCGGCTCGTGGCGTGGGGAGGGGCTCCAGTGGAATCGAAGAGTAGGGGGTCGGCGTTGGGAAAGTTGTCTCTCTCCCTCTGTGTGTGAGAGGAAAACAATGGAATGAAAGCAAGAGAGGGGATGGGGGTAGCAGCGGCCCGTGATGTGGGTATGGTCCCACCCAGAGCGGGCCCCCAGCCGGGGAACCTGACTTTTCACGCCTGGCTGAGCTGAAGATCCTCTGTGTAAACATAGAAATCACAGGGGCCGTGGTACTGTACTGTACTGTACTCCACTCCAGGTTGCTGCTGCTGTGAAGACCCCCATTTCCACAAGGATACAATGTCAGGGACCTTACTTTGAAGGCGAGTTGCCACTTTTTATTGTACACTTTTTTTTTTATTGTACACTTTTTTTTTATTGTACACTTTTTTTTATTGTACACTTTTTACACACACTGTAAGTCCCCAGGCAGCAGCGACGTGCAATCGGGGGAGTGGAAATGAGGAAGAATTCTGAGCTTTCACCTGAACTTTGGACAGATCTCTCTCTCTCTCTCTCTCCCCTCCCTACCCCCGTTTCTGTGTGGCTGCTGTTAGAATGGTTGTAGTGCACAAGAATTCTGTCCAGCATGTTGTATCTTTGCCAGCCCCCTGCATGAGTAGAAACCAAAAGAACTGCAGATGCTGTAAATCAGGAACAAAAACAGAAGTTGCTGGAAAAGCTCAGCAGGCCTGGCAGCATCTGTGAAGAAAAAAAATCAGAGTTAATGTTTTGGGTCCGCTGACCCCTTCTCAGAACTCTGAAGAGATGCCAGTAATCGATGCAGATGCCCTCATCCTGTGAATGAATAATAAAAAAAATTCCAGATGATTGTGTAAGAAGTGTTAAAGTTCCTTATGTTCTTGTTGCTGCTTTTGCCAATTGACTTGATTCCTGTTGTTGATCCTTCCTTCCAAAGGTAGCAGTTTCCTAATGTCTCAATCACTCCTGCTTTTGTCAAATCTCTTCAGTTTGGAGTTACCCTTTTTATGTATCAACTGCTGTAATAACAGATGTCATTAAAGATGTCTTTAAAGATGTTTTTATTTGAAAATAAAAATGCTTACCACGATGCACAGTTAGGCTGTGCCCCAAACCTGTAAGCTGCAGGTGATCATTTATATGTTTTCCAAGTCTCGTGATCATGACTATCTTCTGAAACCCAAAATGTGCATTTTTGGGTGTGAATATTTGTAAATAGCTTGTCAATCATCCAGAAGTTTGGAAGCCACTGGTTTAGCCATTCTCACCAATTGATGCCATGTGTGCATCTCCCAGCAAAGATTTCTGTTGGGAAACAAAGCTGTTTTTACTTAAGGTCGGTATCAAACTGGTAGTACATATTCAGATTTTTTTTACAAAGGTGTTTTTTTTTGTGAATTTATGCAGCATCAAGAATACTTTACAGTCATGTTTGAGGTTTGTTCAGCTGTTGCTCTTGAGAAAATGGCACTTGCAAGTGTGCCATAGTCTTGAAAACTGAATAAGAAGGCTGAGTGAAAAGTACTAATTTTTAGACAAATGCTGAGCTTAAAAACCCACTATATAATAGTACATTTGCTTGTATTTGAAGTAAGCTGTATTTTATTGTCTTAAAGCAAAACAGTACTTTAAACATTGTGTGGTACATAAAATTCAATGAATTACATATTTGTTAGTGTTTCATCAATATGAAATGGCTTTTACCCAAGCTTACTGTATTTCTTCACTTATTATTCTGGGGTGTGGGTATTGTCAGACTGGGACCCTGATTCACAGTTGAATGATGACAAAAGAAAAGAACAGGTCAGCAGAAGGAATTCTACAGTTTTTGAAGTCGATGTGACAAGTGCAATGGCCTGCACCTTTTTCTTGTCTTGAACATTAATGTAAGTCTCCTTTCTAAAAGGAAAGTAGGAAATGTGATGAGATGTTTATAGAATGTCAAATTGCTATTTTTCTTACAAAAGTAGCTTTTGTGAAACTTCTGTTTGTTTTGTTTTTCAAATCCAAAAACTAGAGCTATTTTAGAACAAAAAGGGTTCCTTTGTAAGTTAATAGCCTATTGATATTGCAGGAGTGGGCAGAGGTTCCTGTGGGGCATAAACACTAGTATTGAGCTGATTTGGTTTGATTCTGCCAAGTAACTAGTTTATTACAGAGTATCTCCTGTAAGATTATTACTGAACCAAATCTAGCTTTACCAATTAGTTGAGGAAACTATTAATGCTGCAGTTACTTCTGGATTGTAGTAATAATCCATATTGTTTTTTAAACATGGAAATATAAGTTGATCCCTGTTCATGGACCAAACTTGTAGAGATTATTCATCCTGGAATATGTTATGTAATTCATGCAAGAAATGGCAGGTGTCATCAAGCTTGATTTTAAAAGCAAATTGCTGTCTTTGTATAATGAATGCAGTATCTATAACTGAGCAATCAGTTTGAATCTGTTTTAGTCAGACTTTATTAGGGCAAAGTGAATAATAGAACTTCAACCAGTTAGTCAGTTTTACTCACCAGTAAATTCATTGAAATGTTTACACAAGAAAATTCATATTTGTGTAGCATCCCTAGCAGTAAAATCACCAGGGCATTTCACAGGAATGTTATCTCAACATTTGACATCAGGCCATGCAAATCGAGGTAAGTTTTTAAGGAGTGTCTGAAAGAAGAGAGGTGGTGAGAGAGGTTGAGTAAGTGCACCAATATTTACTTTTCTGCTTCTTGGAGGCATTTTTACAACTAGGCTGCTTTGGAGCTTCTTTGCTTGTAGAACAATCAACTTAAAGGATTGGAATATGATTTGATGTCAATTGTCACTTATTAATGCTTGGTATTACAAGGATAACTTATAAATTTGAATTGGCTTGAATCAATTCATGTTTTGTCCACATTTCTATGTAATGACTTTCAAAATTGTATTTAAGCATATCTGGCAAAGTGCAGCGGATTCCATCAGTATTGCCACTGTATAGTATTTGTGGTCGGAATGTTGCATTTTGTCAAAATCTAAAGTCTTAAAACCAGGAATTTTCTCATCAAGAAGTGCTTTACATATTTTTTGGGAGAAATTTGCACCTTTCTCAATTGTACCCTGGAAATTGAGTTAGTTGCATTGTTTGCACATTGCATCTACAAAACCCCTAATTTAGCTTTGCCTAAACATGCAAATACCAGAGAACACAAGTTTCTTGTGTTAATGCCAGTTGTGTATGGGTATAATGCATGTCCAAACATGCAAATGCACCAAACCTGAATCAATGTGACTGAGGAGTTTGAGGCGTGGGATGTGTCCCAGACCTCTCATTGGTGTTTTTCTTGTCAATTTGTTTTTAAGCACTCTGGACCTTTTACATTTCTCATGCTTCTTTACTGCAGTAGAATGTGTAATGGTAAAATGATTCCAGAATTATACAGTAGACTAATGTAAAGTTTTATCATAAAGATAGGGCACGAGAGAAGGTTCAAAAAAAGGATTGTCAAGGATGAAACCAGAAGTTAGAATTTACTTGAGGAATGAGATAACCGAGAGGTCTTTTAAAAATTAAAAACCAAATTTTTTTTTTAAAAAGTGCAGTCAGGGTAGAAGTAGAAAAGGTGTTTCAACTTACGGCGAGTCCAAAACTAGAGGTTGTATGGCTGGTCACTAACATCTGATCCAGAATTCAGGAGGGCCTTTTTATCCAAAGAATGGTGAGAATGTGAGGCACTACTGCAAGGGTTGTTGAGGCTAGTGGTATAAATATATTTATGCAGAAATGACTTAAACATACAAGAGAAATAAAGGGATGGGTTAAATGAAGAATTCCCACTTGGACTAAGCGATCTATTTCTGTACTGTAGACTCTATATAAACTATGTAAATTATTGTTTCATTGTGAAACTAATTTCTATAACATCCGTAAGGTATAAAGAAAGTTGGTGGATGATCTGCATGTGTCCTTATGTGTAGTTGTGCTGAATTTGTGCTTGCATTTTACTGATTATTTGCATAGGATCAGGTGGTTTTGGCTTGAGTTGCTACTGGCAGGAGCACAGTAGATTTTGGTGCGAGTGCATGATGGAGCAAGTTCCAAGTGAATCCTTCTGTTCGTTTAATCACACATTGAACTCTTCATTTTTTTTTTTTCCCCATTTCTGACAGTGTCTTTCCAGGGTAAAGCCATAGAATGCTATGGAAATGGGAAGAATAGGAATTTGTCATTCTAAGGTTAAGTTGAACTTCTGATTTGAGGCATGTGTTTAAGGAATTTAGTTAAATTAAATCACAAAATTAAATTCTATTAAAAGTCAGTCAAACTGAATGGCCCAAATTGAATGTTAAAGCAATGTATTTTCAGATCTGTCAATCACCAGGTCTGGTTAGCATTGTTCCATACTCTGAGCTAGATTGTTGCCCCAAAATATAGATATTAACTATCATTTTCAAACTGTACTGAAGGAGGCTAAGCTCATTCACCCTTCATGGGTCGTCACTGATAAAAAGGCACAAATGGAAACAAAGTACTACGGATGCTGGGGAGTTGAAACAAGCAGAGAAAATGCTGGAGAAACTCAGACATTCTGCAAATCTGTGGAGAGAGCAACAGAGTTAATGTTTCAAGTCTAGTGTGACTGTTGCTCAAAATTAAAGAAGTCGTACTGGACTCAGAATCCTACAACACAGACTCTTTGGTCCAACCAGTCCATGCTGACCATAATCCCAAACTAGTCCCATCTGCCTGCGCTTGGTTCATATCCCGCCAAACATTTCTTATTCATGTACTTATCTAAATGTCTTTAAAACGTTGTAATTGTACCTGCATCCCACCACTTCCTCTAGAACTTAATTCCACACGCCTAGCCACTCAGTGTTCTTAAAGAATTGCTTCTCATCTCTCATCTTAAAAATTGTCTTGAAATTCCCCCATCCTAGGGGAAAGACGCCTGCAAATCACCTTATCTATACCCCTCGTGATTTCATAAACCTC